GGCATCCTAACTTGATTGTTCGCAGGTTTACGTGCAAAACTTGCTAAAACTAATCAAAAACAACCAGACCAAGGGAAACTGCCATCGTGGGCGACAGAGCAAGCGCCAGAACACAGCGGCGGCACCATGACAAAGCCTTAAAATTAGCTGAAAAAGTTTTAAAATACCTATTTAAACTTTTTGGGGTATTTTTGGATACGTGATGGGTATTTTTAATTTTTGTAGAAAAAATTCAGAAAACTTGAGGACTGCCAAGAGGCTCAGTGAAAAATATAGTATTTCGAACATCAATCTGGGGTAAGAATTTCTTACCATTTTTTCTGTTACCGTAAATTGAAGTTTAATAATCAATAAAACTGTATTTTCTGAAAATTAAAAAATCCTAAAATTAATTACATGTCACTAGTGGAGGCAGAACTGGTCAGTGCATATTTGTCCTAGTTTATTGTTTATTTTCTCATATACTGCCTAAAATGCTTATTGTTATATTGTGTGCTTTAAATTATTTTCTCGATTATTTAGTTTACCTAACTGTGTTGCCTTTATCTGTTGATTTATTAGCAATAAATGTCATAATCACGTTTTCTTGATTTATGTATCGTCTATTTGCATGACTTACTATTGATTTGTAAATATGAGATGTTGACATGTAATTGGTAATCGGTTGATGATGTGGAATACATTTATGAAAGGGTTATCGGATACTTTGGAAAAATGTGTACGGACCCGGTGCATAGAGAAAATCCTACCGTGGACATTATCTCAATCGAGCGAAGCTGAGAAATCTCATACCAGAAGCGGTTGAAAGGTATAATTCACCATCATACCTGACGAGATATTGAGCCAGTTGTATATTTTGGCACCCACTACCTATTAAGGTATGGGGACGGCTAGTAAATCAATAACTTGGATATTGGGCCCATATGTAGGGGGGGCCCTTATGGACCCCCAGAGGTATTGTACATAGGTAAAGAGGTACGTTGTTATTCTTGCTCATTTAGATATAAAATCAATATCATTCGAGTTATTGTCTTCATAAGTCAATTTTGAAAAATCAAAACGATAAGTATGAAATAAACAGTTTTATGTTAAATGAATTTATCTAAATTAACAGCTTCATTAGCTATTTTATAATTTTTACCGACCTTCGATTTTCTGTATCAGTTATTAGTGTGATATTTTTACTTGTTAGTGTAGCTTATTCCTCCATTTAACTATTTCAGATCAAGAAGATCAAGATCCGTATCTTGAACAGTAAGAGGGTTGCGAGTAAATGTGACCTCCTCGACCCTATCAAAGATGTCAATAGAGGTTAACCTCATAGGATTTTCATCTCGTTTGTTTTAACTATTTATTTTATTATCATGAACTGCAGTAAAATGGACATTCTCCTAACCCTATTTGATATCTTAATTTATTATGTAAGAAATGTAAATCTTTAATTATTATTTGCTTCCGTCATTACAATATTTTTTTTCTTAAGATTTTAGGTTTAACATCTTAATTTACTGTGTAATAAATGTAAACTTTTAATTATTATTTGCTTCCGTCATTACAACATATATTTTTTTCCTTAAGATTTTAAGCCTCTGCAAGTATATTGTGTCAATTATAAT